TTCATATACAAGGGCCACAAATGAACTGTTTCTTCTTTTGGCTCCAATGCATTGCTCATAATACCATGCTTTGCAGTGCTGGCAACGGATCCAGTCCCCTTTTTCTATAGAGATATTTAAATAGTAGTTTTTTTTTTTAATAGTAGCTGACTTTACAAAATGCACATACATAGTCAAGTTTTTTCTAAAACGCTATTAAGTACAGCGGGGCGCCCAATAGAAGTACGAGGAACTTCATTTTTATCACATATTTATCTTTGATAGAACTTTTCTGAATAAACTTTTGTAGGAAACATGAAATAGCTGTGCAGCTCCTAAAATGAACTACATAACATCAATAACAGATGTAATGGTTTGCCTCATACTTTCTTTGTTCCAATTTAGTCAAGTATCCTTTTTTTATAATGTTTCACCATTTAAAATAACGAAATGCGTCTTAAAACAGTTGAAATATACATATTAGGGAACTGAGTGCGTTATTAATTGCCCATAAAAATGTATTTAAATTTCCCCATGTGGCAATATAAAAATATTATAATATAGTACTACAATAACTCAACAAAATGCGCCACTAGTTGACGTGGCGATCGCTAATACATGCAGGAAACATTTTTAAGTTATATTGTTATCATAGTTTTTATGTAGATTTTATAAAAACTTAAGCTAGCAGAATATATTCTTATAAACTGCAGTAACAGAACTGCAGTAACAGAAATTCTCTACCTACCTTGCTTAATGTAAAATACTCCACAGATCTTCAGATTCACAAATATTCTCTAAAACTTGTATAAATATGTAGACCACAGTATCTTCCTTACTACTAACCTCAAACATAAAACAAGGCGTCTCATATTTTTCTGAAATTGTCGCAAACGCTTAATATTATGTAAATTCTCCCATTATTCAATTTACCCTGCTGTACGGTATGAAGAAAAATATGTTTACAATATGAATATGCTTTAAATAAATATGCTAAACATAATAATATAGGTTGTTTAGCGCGTATTTTACATTTATTATATTTTTAAATGTATGCATAAGTTAAAAACCTTGATTTCTCAAGCTTTATTCTATAAATTAAAGAAGCATAAGTAGATTTTAAAATTTTCATATTTATGAGCCTAAGAAGAGATTTAAAAAGAAGATGTTGAAAACGTTTCGCAGCTGAAATAAAAAAGTGTGTAAAAATATGAAAAATAAAAAAGAAACACAAAATACGTTCATACTTTTTTAATTTGTCAAGCAGAACTTTGTATGTGACAATAGGAGAAACATTTTCAACAATATTTTTAATACAACAAAAAACAATAATATATAAAAAATTGTTATGTTATGTAAAATACATCATCTTTAGAATGTTGTAAACACTAGATAAAAACAATTAGTAATAGCGTAATTCTTTAGCCAAGTCAGTTGTACACAATTGTACTCGTGGTAAGAAAGATTGTCTGGCCTTTTGTAAGTTTAGGAACCTTTCTTGTTCAATGACAGAATTTATTTTCCAATAAAAAAGTTTTTTCATTGAACAAAACGTATAAGTTCTGAAATTTATAAAAAGAAAAAAAACGGACAACCTTTCCGACCGCGAGTATATATATATACCCAGATAGCCAAACCTGCGCGAACAGATTTCGAGCAGAGTTTGCTATCAACTTTTGATGGCAAATAGATAACAAATTTGATGCAGGATCTGTTATATCAAATCCTGCTGCTAAATTGCCGCTAGATATGCGGCAAAGCTTGTTGTCGGATAATTGCTGCAAATTTGGCACCAATTGTCCGACGACAAGATCTGTCGCCACCGTAGCCTAATGTAGACACAGATGGCTATGGTTTTGCTGCGGGTTTTTGATCAAATTTCCTGCCAATCTGCATGCAGTCTGCGCTCAATTTGTTTACTGGGTATCTTATGAATTTACAAAATAAATTTCCTTAAAAATGAAACTCTACGAGCAAATTTTTCTTTTATTTATTTTTTTTGTTTGTTTATTTTTATATCTCCTTTCAGTTGTACAGAAGATTTCATTAACTCCTTGAGATGTACATATATGTACATCTTAAAAAAAACCGATTTATCCTTTTGCGATTTGTACGAAGCTTGGTATCTTGCAATTTTTGAGGTCTCTGAATCCGAATATAATATCAGAATCTCAAAATTCAAAATGGTAGATTCAATATGACGGATAAAATTTGGAAAAATAATTGAATTTTTATATTTTGATCCGTTATATTGGATCCACTATTTTGAATTTTGAAATTCTGATATCATATTCGGATTCAGCGATCTTGGAAACCTTAATACTAAAATTGTAGCGGAAATGTAAGAAGAAGCTTTTTTTCACATACTGGTGGCACGGAAGTCTCATTTTTACCACACAATCGCAGGGTTAATGTTATCCTATTCTTTGATATAGTGATAAAATTTTTAACCAAGCGCATTATATCATAAATATTTGTACATCATGACAAGTTGATTATTCGAATAAATGCCGATTATCCGAATAATTCTATTGAATGGAAATTTTAAATCGCTGTTTTAAAAATTTCGCGAAAATTTTAGTCGCTGTGGTAAAGAATGAGATAGAATTAATGAAATATTTTCTACAACGAATTACAATCTACGCTATAATACTTTGAAGTTATTGGAAAAAGTTTCAAAATTAACTATAATTGTTAGAACTTTTAATTCAAATAGTTCAATTCTAAAAGAAAAAAATTACAGCATAATGTAAATAAATAAACAAATTACAACATATAGATAAATAAACGTGAAAAGCAATAAATAAATAAATATAATATTGTATATATATATATATATATATATATATATATATATTATGTGTGTGTGTGTGTGTGTTTTATTTATTTTGTTTAGTTTTCGGCGTTTAAATTTTTTTCGAAGTATATAAATGTTTAAAAGTACAGTGATTTTTAGAAATAAATATCTTTAAATCAGGTTGGTTATATTAATAATCTTACATAAAAGAATTTCTTTTTTATGTGAATAAAATGACCAAATGTTTTATTAAAAGAACATAATTTAAACACTTGTTTAAAATATGTTAATATAACGTATATTAGATTCAATATGTCTGATGTTTAAAACATGTATGCAACAATATGTTTAAAACATAATAACCCTGAAATTTCTTTTTGGACTTTTGAACAAATTGGACTGATGTATCTTCAATATGATAATTTAAATACAACTAAATTCTACTTTCTAATTTGTATCGTTGAATAGCTTGCAAGGAATAATAGTACATAATTATCATTTCAACTTATATTCTATATAATAAATATTTTTATTTCTGAGGAGATGTCGATATATTCTCTCCTGCAACTCCTCTTCTTTTTCGTGTTTGTCGTTGCGTTACTTCCAGAGAAAACTTGAGAAATACGATTACGCAAAAAAGCTTTCCCATACATGATTATTATTACAAGAAGATTATATCATAATCGGCGACATTATTCGTTACTTTTCAGATGGTGATGGTAACTCATATATGCTGAGGCGATAATGAAACACTGAAGGATCTCCACTCGCGAAAGTGGATGAAGAAGGCATGAAGATGAGTGCTTGTAAGAATTGAAGGGGAAAATCTACACAACGAATAGCAACAGCCTGCCTCGTCCATTGCGACCAGCCACATATCTCACGTTAAGGTACATTAATGATATACACGCGTGAAACAATAACACAAATAACGGTGCGCGCAAAAAGAGGAAACTTCCAACACTCTGTGTACATGAAGAAACGTTACAAATAGTTTCTTTAGGAATATAGCAACGGTGATTTTTTACTCTGCTTTTTTTTTTATCGCTGTCATCGTATAATTTACAAAGCAACTTACTCGGAGCTCAAAGTTATACTTTTCTTTGAGTCCTCAGCCACTTGTCATTTGTCCTAGTGACACCGTTTGGTGATTTTTGTTTCTCCCACAATTATACTGCATCGTCCGCGCAACCTTGTCCCTCGCTTATTCCATACCCCGCTCGCTCTTTTTGCTTCGCGTGATTCCTCGTGCCGTCGTGACTCGTGCCACGACGTGATTAAACAGCTCCGACGAAGTCGACCTCTCCTATTCCCGGGTCCCCCGCGACTACTGCTCGACAACTTAATGGTCAAGTTTCTCTCTCGCGACGTTAGCCGCGTCGATAAGCTCGTCGAGTTAGCAGACATCTGCTAACGCGGTCAAGTTCCTTCATTGCAAGTTGACAAAACGATAAACAAGCGGAACGAAAAGGACGCGTGAGTGAAATCGCGCGAGAGGATGGATCCGCACTGGGCAGTCCTTTTTAATTTCTGCGCTGCTCGCACCGATCGATCGCGTTTTAACACGAATGACTGAGAGAGATGTGAGCAACGTTCAAAAGACATACCAATCTTGGCAATCGTACAACGTCTTGTAAACATCTTTCGGGTTTTTGCGAGCTTTTGATGTTACTTCCGGTTAAAGGCCTCATGTGGGGACAAGACAAAGTGTCCTATAACAATGGCTGCGCCAGTATGTATCATGGGTACGATGTTGTTTCCGACGATACAATGGTGGTCGACGCTGCGGCAGACGAAGGCAGGATGGTTGAGATTTGTGAGGCCATAGAAAGAGTAGAACGTGAGGAATGTGGCGTGAAAACGAGTCGCGGACTCTTAGAATGGACGGACTGAGCCACGTGACGTAGCTATAGCGTTCCGTGCCGCAACGCCCCGTATTGATCGGACGACATCAGCTGTACGCTGTTGGTAGCTTTTATACCAGTGGACGCCTGCCGGTCTGACTACCACTGCTTAATACCACTGTTCGATGTTCCCTTCTTTCCTACCACAACGATGTCAATGTGTCACTGTTATAACGCTTCTGATTGGCGCGGCGCGTAGAAATTTGTTCGCTGTAGAGAAGTAAAAGCGTGTTCTGTCTGCTTGTATAAGAATTTTGCTTTTGCTTTCAGGTTACGTTTGTTCAAGTATGTACTGCAATCTAAAATGCAAATTTGAAGAAGTGATGAGGAAAAAAATAGATGTGTACATTCGTGGACAGAAAGGTTGTCCATAACTTTTTTAGTCAATTTGTGAACTCTTCGTCGTGTTCAATGGGAGAATTCATATCTTTTTTAATGGGAAAGTTCTCATTGGACAAGATAGATGAGTTCACAAACTCACTTGAAAATTTAAGGATAATCTTTCTGTCCACAAGTATGCGTGTGTTTCGCGTGAAAAGATTGCTCTTCTTGCAAAAAATGTGAATTAATTTATCTTCATGAGGAAGATACGGTTTTACGGCTCTATATGAATAATGAAATTTCACGTCAGACGAAATTAGCGCTGCGCCCTGACTTATGTTAACTTCTTAGTTAGAACTTCAACGGACTTCGTTAAATCATTCCGTGTATCTTGCAAAGCGAGCAATAAAAGGGTCAGCGATTAAGCCTTGATATTAAAGCCGCAGTGGTCATATTATCGTATTGTAAGGATTATTACCATAAAGATAATTACCATATGATAATAAGGATAATCAGGATAATGCCACATGATTCTTGGGCGTTATTTATAGACGATTATTTGTATGTCTTTGGCAGCTTATGATATTATTATCATCTCAGTAATATTATCGATTTTCCTATGTATTATCGACACGAAAGCTTTCATTAATTTTATCGCGTGCCGTAAACTGAGGATGATACTGTATGCACGCGACATTACGCTTACACCCGCATACTTGACCCTACGAATGACGCCTCGTTGGTAACTTCAATATTTAACGATTTAACACGTACTTAAGTGTGTCGCATCGAGTTTCGTATTCGGGGTGACGTATGCAAGACGTTATATTCCGCGCATACTCGTCGCTTATGTAATTTTCTTATGAACATATACTGGCCCGAACGCTACTTGCTGTGTCAACGTCTATAGCCGATTCTCTGTCGTTTCTTGGGGAGGATCCCGTTTGCCTACAAATTAATTGCCTACGGTATCGATTGCTGACATTCAAACTTATCAACATTTTATTTGCACACAAAAATTATTGCCTACAGAACAATTACCTACAAGTTGTATTATGCACAAATAAAAAATTAAAAGCTGAACGCTCGTTTGCACACACGACATTTGCGCACAAATCACATTGCACACATAATATTATTGCCTCTAGTATGATTGCCTACATGCTCTATTGCGCACAAATAAAAATTAAGAGACGAATGCACGTTTGCGTACAAAAATTATTGCCTACAGTAAGATTGTTTACAAGTTCTATTGTGTACAAATAAAAATTAAGAGACGGACGTACGTTTGCACACACCAAACTATTGCACACAAGCCACATTGCGCATATAATATTATTGCCTACAGTACGTTTGCAAGCTCTATTGCGCACAAATAAAAATTAAGAGACGGACGTACGTTTGCACACACCAAACTATTGCACACAAGCCACATTGCGCATATAATATTATTGCCTACAGTACGTTTGCAAGCTCTATTGCGCACAAATAAAAATTAAGAGATAAACGTACGTTTACATACAAAAATAATTGCCTACAGTACGATTACCTACAAACTCTATTACGCACAAATAAAAAATTAAAAGTCAAACGCTTGTTTGCACACATAATATGGTAATTATTTAGTTTAGCGGCAACACCTCCGATTTCGATGAAAATAAGCTCGATCGACGCGTTTTTGCATGCCAAACAACTTTTTCCTTTGACAAAATCGTCGCTCTCTACTACGAAGCGAGATATTAATAGACAAAGTTGAGAGCGCGTTAGGTTAGAAAATCTGTCATACCATCTCTCTCTAGCTATGTGACCGGGGGCTTCGCCTCCCAGAGCCCCCGTATCATGGGGGGTGGGGGCTATAGTCTCTTGTGCTTAAACTAAAGAGTGACTTTCTCACAAAAGGCTGTAGCTCCCCCCCCCCCACCGTGTTACGGGGGGTCTGGGGGGCGAAACCCCCCAATTACATAGCTAGAGATAGACGGTATAACTGGATAATTACCAATTTTTTAATCAACGATTGTAACAAATTAATAGACTTTTTAATACAACACGGTGTTTTAGCATCTACAATATATTATAATATATATCTACGTCCATGTGACAGATTTACTAACCCTATTAATGTATCATTTTAAATATTAATATCTTGCTTCGCAATAGAGAGCGACGATTGAAATAATATATATGTACTAAAATATATATAATGATATATATGTACTAAAATATTAACGAGCGTTCGGCTTTTAATTTTTTATTTGTGTGTAATAGAGCTTGTAGGTAATCGTACTAATGGCAATAATTTTTGTGTACAAACGTACGTTCGTCTCTTAATTTTTATTTGTGCGCAATAGAGCTTGTAAACAATCGTACTGTAGGCAATTATTTTTGTGTGCAAACGTACGTTTGTCTCTTAATTTATTAATTATGCGCGATAGAACTTGTT